TTGTAATCTTAAAAAGGTTTTTATTTTAAAATGTCACGCGAGCCAATATATTTAGTTTCTAGGAATTTATTAATCTATGAAAGACTTTGATCTGCAAGCGATGGCTGCTTTTCAATTTTGTAAGGTATTTTTCTATTTATTACGCCAAGATTCTCAGTAGTTTTTGTCGAAACGTAAATTTAACGCCACGGTCTGAGCTGAAATTTTGTCCATCTCCGGCTATTAGGTGCTCCGTTTACACGGAATCACCTTAAGTTTAACCATACGAAAATTGAGACGCTTAGCCGTTCAAAGTTCCCTGTGAACAGAACGAAGATATTGAACGGTCCCGTGTGGATGAAGTGCCCAGTCAAATTTTTTCAGCCAGTCGAAAATTCGTTCGGTGCCATGCGAATTACGACCGGTCACCGCCATACTACGTTACGCCCAAGTTCTGCTTTACCTTCATCCCATTGCATTGTACACAAAAAACGAATATTCTTTCGGATAAGATTGGTGATGAAGTACAAATTTTTTTGTAGGTTCAGCGTGAAAAATTGGCTTCCCATCTTCAATCTTCTACCGAAGCACATCTTGCTTTAGCTTGTGTGAAGGTAGACGACACTCAAAAGGAGTTAGCAAATACACAAGCTGAGTTGAAAAACACTCAAACTCAACTGACCGACGCGCAAGAGATGACAAGGGATTTGGTGAAGAAAGTGGACAAACTTCAGAGGCAAATGAAAGAGAAACTGAATGAAAAACAAGTAAACGAAGCTATAGAAAGTAAAGTGATGCAGATGAAAAAGGCAAAAAGTTTTATGTGGAAAATTCGGAACTTTTCTGAAGTATTAAGGCAAGCAAAAGAAGGGGGTTTGTTCAAAATATTAAACAGCGATCCATTCTACTCAGAAAGTTGTGGTTACAAAATGCAGTTATTTCTATATCCCAACGGTGGTGGGTCTGGAGTGAACACTCACGTGTCAGTATACCATGGCGTAATTCAAGGCGAATATGATGCTTTATTGTCGTGGCCCTTCAAGACAGCTGTTAGGATTACCCTTTTTGATCAACAACACTTCTCTCCGCAAAATGTTGACTTTTGCTTCACCCATAATGTCGCCGAAAGACCCAAAGAGAACAGTAATCATTCTATTGGCAGGCATGAATTCGTATCTCACGAGAAACTAATGACGAGGCGATATCTTGTGGACGACACGTTGTTTGTGCGTGTTGTCATTGGCTCGGATACCACTCAATTGAAGTGGTGGTCAACTGAACCTCTTTTGACGTCCGTAAGAATTTAAAATGATGTTGGATCACTCACTGCTACAGATTCATGTTTTAAGATGGATAGTGCACATCGCCACTTCCAAATTGTTATTCTTGGTCACTCATCCACTTTCAAATTTAGCTGTGAGATTGTTTTAGAATTTCAAGAACAATTTGCTCTGAGGTAGAACGAGTCACCAGTTCGAATTTTCGGGACAAGTAATTCCAGTATTTGCTAATTCTTAAAACAAAAGCCGATTGCCAATCGGTGCTATTCTTTAAAAGGTACTCTTTAGTTTTAGTAGCACTATAAATTGCTCAAAACCTTGCTATGAAGTCGAATGACTTTTTCCTCAACATTTTCGAATCCTTTAGCAGCCTTTTGGCTGAAACTCCTGCTACATACATTTTGATGTATTGCAATGCATCTACAACAGCTTTTACTGCTATGGTTGCTTCCAATTCAAGGAATGGGTATTGAGATTGTAAGCTATCTTGTATCAGAGCTCAGATAGAACTGTCGAGCACCTTTGTTTATGACTACGAAATGAGCAGGAGCGGCCAGTTCTGTGAGGAATTCGCACCCTGCCCAGGAGGGACGAACGGCAATGACCAATGCCTGCCAGCCGATCTGCATATCGCAGAGCAAAATATAATAATCGAGAAAAATACTGCCCAGGCATTCAAGAAAGGAGTGACGAATTTTCAGAGATGTAAGTTTATACACGGGTAGTATTTTTCGCGATAATTTTATTTTGCATTTCGATATAATTCCGTTCGCAGGCATGGGCATCATTGTCCCTCGTCCCCCCGGCTGCTGTGTGAATTCCCTGCAGGACACACCGCCGTGCTCATTTCGTAGTTGAGGTTCTATGCCAGCCGGTGTTGTAGAAAGATAATTTATTGCTTCGCATCTTTATTCAGTAACCTACATTGTGTTTACGTGGACTGGCCCATAGGTAACAATTGCCAATCTACTGTAGGTGTCAGCCTGTCATAAAAGTGACGAAAAATCAATGCCCCAGAATTATAAGACCAAAACGTTTTTGCAAGCAAAGAGGACTGAAAACAACAAAATTAATGTTGATGAGATGGAGGCCTTAAGCTAGATATTGTAGAACTGGCCAATTCCATCCCTGCTGCTAAATAGCCTGCAGTGCAGGCGTATTTTGGGTGGGCGAAACCTTGTTCGTGTTCGTGATATTGTTGTAGCCGCCATCTTTGATTTTATGACAGTGGAAGATTGGGAAGAGTAGAAATAGTAACCCTTAAAAAAAAAATGGGGCGCTAAAAGAAAACGCCTGCACTGAAGGCTAGCTGTTAAAGTTTCCCAGTTCCAGACAGTCTGTTGTGAAACAGTTGTTTAAGTGGCTTTTTACAGTTTAAATGGACGCAAGTCATTTCCTTTCAACACTCTAACACTGGTACTATTTATCAGTTATGATAAATTTATGGTTAGTGGTTATATGGTAAAGTCATGTTACCAAATTAAATATGCCGTCACAGGTCATATGTGGATAATGTGCTTTCAGGAATTCCACTGAATTAAGAGCGGCTCCGCGTAATTATCAACTAGACGTGGAAATAGTCAAAAAAGTGACCTGGCCTCAAACTCAGCCAGAATAAAGCCCTATGGGCTCTAGTTACAAAATCGTTGGTTTAAGTACGATCGAGCGAATGACATTTTTTTAACGAATTTTTTTGTTCCCTAGGCCTAAATTGGGCAAAAATCGTTCGACAATAGAGTCATATTCAGTCGCTCGTATATTTTAAAATAACTCGGTTGGCTAGTAGCATATAATGACACTTCATAATTTTACTAGAGCTGAGTTAAAGTACTGTAAAAGTAAAAGTCCACGACGTCACGAGTAATCTGTTCCGTTTTCTGAATTTTACCAGTGCAGCGTACGATTATTTATGCGAATCATTGCATTAACAACTTTTTATCCGACAACACCCACCCGAGACTGTGTTAGTTTAAGAGTCCATAAAACTTCTCAGAAGATTCCTCGGAAAGACCTCAAGAAGGAAATGAGGGAAGAATTTGAACTTATAAATGTTACAATTTCACTTGCCGCCAAGGCAAAACGAAAACAACTGTCAAATTGCAACAGACAAACCAGTTTTCAGTGCAGTCATGCAAAGCATGTCAAGTCACGAAATTCGTCCCTGCGCATTTGTGAAGAAGGGAAGAAATTCTTCCATGCTGTGCGCTGAAACATTTATGAAATAAAAATAACTTAGGACTGTTTCACTTTTAACTAGTAAAGGAAAAGAATAACTTTTTCCCCTGTTTTCATGAAAACGTCAATAATGAAACTTTAACTTTTCTGTATTTTGTCACCTAAGTACACTGTGAGGGTTCGGTAGCAACTAATACTTCTATATAGCACGACTGGCGCTGAGCACTTCTCTTCTTGGTACTTTATAACTAGCCTTGCTGCTGCACTAGAGAAGTACTAATAGAGAGACTATACGACTGCATTCAACCGCTTTAGGGCAAAGGTGTCTCCTCCTTCCTGAGCAGGCGTTTTTAGGGGATTTGTAATTCCTCCCTCCTCACAAACGAAAAATGTGAATTTTTTTTCACTTGATCTCAAAAACATTAGCCTCAATTTTTTTTATTTGCCCTTCGCTTTACAGACAGGTGTGAATGACACATATCTTGGTCGCGCGGCTAAACGCTTACTGCTTCAATCTTGTGTAACGTAACGCTGTGGTGTTTTCCGGCAATATTTTGGCGCGAAGCTGCGAGGCCCGTGATCACTAGTGTAATTTGGTTATTACAACGCACGTTAGAACACCGAAACATGACTCAATTCAGTGTCGTGGAGTGCCAGATGGTAAAGAAATCTTTTTCACTAAACTGAGAAGAACTTGTCTTCAAACAATAAAAAAAATAGCGTTTAAACATCAGTGGAGGTCATAACTATCCCCCACGTTACAAACACGAACTGTAGGTAGCGAGAGTTTGGTGAAGAAAAGAGCGTAAATAGCCTTTTAATTTGAGCAAACTTATTCATTAAAGTTTGATATAAGTTGCAATGAATCTTACAAAATGTTGTCCTTCTACTTCATTAGTTTCTGGTTTCATCAGTTTTCTGTTTTTGGTGGTTCCTTATGGAGTTACGATCACCAAATGACGTCATACAAAAGATTGAAAAGGCACTAAACACTTCCAACACTACAAAAAAAGAAGAAACCAACAAGAGTTTGTGCAGTACCAAGAAACACCCACATCCTTAAACTGAGGAACATTTGTCGATTAGATTCAACCGCATTTACTTTTTTAGTACCAAGCATCAGGAGCAAGTTCTCGTCACCCTGTTCCTGCACTTCTCAATGAGCTATGGACTCATTTAGGCCACGGCCTTGAATTTTAATGTAATAGCAATGGCGAAGTACTCAAGATGTACAGGCGACAATGCTGAATCTCTGGGGGACAGTTTGATGCTGCTTGGTAGTTGCTTGGTAGATGGTTAAAAACTTGTATCCATAAAATTAAGCAATTATTAAATGAGATTGAGTAGGTGTTGAATTCCCGTTACCTTCGCTGTAGTCTGTGTCCTTGTCTTTGTTACACCAATTTACCATTAATGGACACTAAACACTCTTCCTTTTTTAAAAAACTTACAAACGCCAACTTTCGTGGCCTTTCCCGATCGCGCGTGCGTGGCCGTAGGGGGCACTTTGGGGACCTCCCAAAACGGAACGCGGGCGCAACCCATTTGGCAGGGGCGAAGACTAAAATGGCGGAAGTAGTAATAAATCCTTTGCCTTCAGGATATGAATACGAGTTTATTTCGACTGTCCTTGAAGATCACCACTGCCTTATCTGTCACTTACCTTTACGAGAACCAGTTCAAACAAGATGTGGCCACAGATTCTGCAAAAAATGTCTTGATGAAGCGATTAGAAGGTATGAAAATCGAAAATGTTGTAAGGGCAGGCTGTTTTTTTTGTCCTTTTAGCGTCGTCCGACCGAGCCAAATTTTTGGCATTTTCAAAAAAGAAACGTAACGACGTAGTTAAACCATTTTTCACTTGAAATAATTCTTTTAATGTGAAAAATGAGCATAGTAACAGCATAGAGAAAAACAGGAACAAAGACAGGAACAGCATGATGCCCAGTATCCGGACGGTACCAGTATCCCGACACTGAAAACAAAAACTCAATTTTTGAGGCGCCCTTTTCAGTTCTCGCTAAACGGAGTATTTCGAATGAAAGCTGAACATTTCCGCTCTAAGATGAAAGTTTTGGTGAGTTTAAAGGTTGCGAAACAGTCGCAGAAGACGCCGTTCTGTTCAGGTGAGTAACCTTGTCATGGCTAATATTACGCTGTTTACTGTGCAGTAAAATTGGTGCTGCTCAGAAAAGGGTAGGTAATATGTTATATTTTCAAAGAAACTGTTCTATATTTAAAGTGAAGATACTTAAAGAAGTCAGGTTCTCAAAAAGTTTATTACTTCTTCTTGAAATTCGATTTGTTTGGAAAAACGGAGGCCAGTATCCAGACAGTTTTTTCTTTGCTGTACAGAATCAGAATCGATGAATTAGCTGTGTACATTATTCGGATAAGATTTATTTCATATCTGTAACTATAATTAAAGCTTAGGATATATGATATAGTCGTAAAATGTAGTTCTACTCAACTCCGTGTGGAAATTTTCTTCACTCATTCAGAGGCGACTTGATTTCGTGTGCACGGCTTGTTCCGCGTGACTGCATTTTCCATATATAACCGAAAGCGTCGTAGTTGGACCTGGAATTCTCATACTTTCCCCAGTTGTGACTGCTAGAATGAGGCTGCAACGGTCTGAAAAATGTCACTAAGGGATTGAGAGACGTGAAAGAAGAAGAAATTAGTGCCAGAAAAGCAGGCTTATTGTGGGGACTGAGCATGAAGAAACTGCAGGTCAAACACTGCAGGTCAGACTAAATAGGAGGGTGATCTTTGACCGTCGGATTGAGGTCCCTTCCCCAAGCTTTTTTTTAAAATAAAAAATGAAGAAAAAAAAGTTGTTTGCAGATTGGTTAATTCAGCTTACAAACCGCGGCTTCGGCATGTCCACGGATGCCTTTCTTAAATCAGTGAAAAAGGTTCCTATAGACAAGGAAGTAAGAATTATACCATTTAACAGCCACTCGCGTTCCCTACCATACTCCAGTCATTTGTTATGTTTTATTTCACGATGCTAGGTTATATTCTGGAATCGATTGCCAGATTACTTTGCAAGTGCAAGAGAAGCTTAGAAGTTGCTTGCCTGTCGAAATTTATGTACAATTACATTGTTATTGTTGTGTCCGGATACTGGGCCAGCTGTCCGAATACTGGACAACATAGGAGCTCTGGAAAAATATTAATTTCACGATGGAAACAAAGACAAAAAAGTTAAACTGTTTTTTGTCATATTAAGGACTAAATGGATTTTCTCTGGGCTAAATTTCAGAGCTCTCGGGACTAACAAAGGAAATTTATTGCAATGTTAAACTGAAGTGTGCGGA